GAATTCCTAATGAAACCTCTCAAGTCACCACTGTACTATTAATAACCCCACAAAGCAAAATAATAACCCCGCACCTTCCGTAAAATGCACAATGTACCTCTCAACTGTATAGCTGTCCGTCAGTCTGTCCGTCACAAAAACTTTAACCTTGCCCATAACTTTTGATTTAGTGGAGCTATGACTTTCATATTTCACATGTGTATTTCTTGTGACAAGACCTTTCTTTGGGTACCACTAAATTTGACCTTTTGACCTTGACCTTGGAGTTTGACCCAATTTTACACAAAAATTCTTAACTTTTACTTTGGCCATAACTTTTGAATAGTAAGAACTAGGACTTTCATATTTCACATATGTATTGTTTGTGACAAGACCTTTCATTGGATAACAACAACCTTGACCTTTTGACCTTGACCTTGGAGATTTACAAACTTATAAAAAACTTTAACCTTGGCCATAACTTTTGAACATTGAGGACTAAGGCTTTCTTTCTTCACATATGCAATCCTTGTGAGAAGGCCTTTCATTGGATATCAATATCTTTTACCCTTTGACCTTGACCTTGGAGTTTTAACTACTTAACAAAAACTTTAACCTTGGTCACAACTTTTAAACAGTAGATACTAGGACTTTTATATTTCACATATGTATTGTTTGTGGTAAGACCTTTCATTGGATAACAACAACCTTGACCTTTTGACCTTGACCTTGGAGATTTAAGTACTTATGAAAAAACTTTAACCTTGACCATAACTTATGAACGGTGAGGACTAAGGCTTTTGTACTTCACATATGCAATCCTTGTGAGAAGACCTTTCATTGGATACCAATAACTTTAACCCTTTGACCTTGACCTTGAAGTTTTAACTACTTTCAAAAATTTTTAACCTTGGTCACAACTTTTAAACAGTAGATACTAGGACTTTTATATTTCACAAACTTTAACCTTTTACCAAAACTTTTGTGAGAAGACTAAGGCTTTTTGGATACCAAAAACTTTTACCCTTTTTTGACTAACTTTTATAATATGAAGTTTTAATATATTCATACAGAACATTTTATGTATTCCAGGTGTTTTGTGGGACATTTCATTGAGAAGTACCAACAAAAATACTTTATGAAGAGATGTTATTTACTGATAAAAAAATTTGCATGTGAAATAACCTTGCTCATATTTACTTTATGAATGACTAAGGCTTTATGTGCACTTACCACATATGCAATGATGAATACCATTTTCATTGGTATCAATTCCATTGTAACTTTAACCCTTTGACCTTGACCTTGAAGTTTTAACTATATTTCAAAAATTTTTAACCTTGGTCACAACTTTTAAACAGTAGATACATTAGGTAACTTTTATATTTCACATATGTATTCCTTGTGGCAAGACATTTCATTGGATACCAACAACCTTGACCTTTTGACACTTTACCTTGATAAGAGGATGATTTGAACACATAGAGTACTTAATAAACAAAAATTAAAATTAAAACTTTAAACCTTGACCATGTTAACTTTTGAACAGTGATGGAAAAATAAATTACTTAAGGCTTTAAAAATATTTTCTTCACATATGTTTTTATCCTGAGTGTTTTAAGTGCATTAAAAAAATATATTGCAATTATGTGTGCCTGAGTTTCAAAATGTTTTTTTACCAGATACTTTTAGATTGGTCAATAAATTACCAATAACCAAAAGAACCCTTAAAATTTTAACACAAACCTGTAAAATTGACCTGTGAATAATAAAACCTTGAAGTTTTGAAAAACCTAAAAAAAAATTCAATCAAGATAAAAATCCAGGTGCACAACTTCATGACTAAGATAAAATTTTTAACCTAATGGTCACAACTTTACATTTTTCAAAAAACAGTAAACGGACATTTTTTGAAATGACGGACATATGTAACGTGAGACGGACATGGGATACCAATAACTTTTACCCTTTGACCTTACTTCGTTTGCGGGGGGTATCAAAAATTTTTAACCTTGGTCACAACTTTTAAACAGTAGATACTAGGACTTTTATAATTCACATATGTATTCCTTGTGGCAAGACATTTCATTGGATACCAACAACCTTGACCTTTTGACCTTGACCTTGGAGATTTACGTACTTATGAAAAAACTTTAACCTTGACCATAACCTTCAAAAGAAATCAACTTCAATGTTACTTTCTAAATAAATGACATATGATAGGATGTTCATATATTATTACACACAATATGTCATAAAAAATAACATCTCACCAACAAAGACAGCGAAAGCGGGGGACCACAATTCTTTGAATTTGCTTGTTACAATTTAGAATCTACACTACCCCAGGATGCTTCCACATAAGTTTCAGCTTTTCTGACCCAGTGGTTCTTGAGAAGAAGATTTTTTAATGACCCCACTCTATTTTTGTCGTTTCTTGATTATCTCCCCTTGTGAGGGGACTTGGCCCTTCATTTTAACAATATAAATTCCCCTTCACACAAGGATGCTTTGTACCAGGTTTGGTCAAAATTGGCCCATTGGTTCTTGAGAAGAAGTCGAAAACCTGAAAAGTTTACAGACGGACAGACAGCTAGACAGATGGACATTACTCTCTGAGGTTGAAAAACCTAAAATTAGATTTAACCTCACAAGACTTTGTCCAAATTTTTGGACATGTCCTTAGCCCAAAACGCTGAGACATTCAGAAAACTGCTGTTTAGAGGAGTTTGGTAATTGATTTGAAGAGTTCCGAATATCTGAGCATGCATACATATTTAAAACTAACTGCGTATGCGCAGAATACGGAAGTAGCTGTGTTTGGACACTTCGTATTAGCAGTGAGGAAATTCGGAAACACAAAAAGCAAATGCAGTAAGTCTTACTATTTTGTTGCACCACATTGAAAAAAAGCTTTGTAAGTTGTTTGTCATGTTTCATACGTACATTATGCAGTTGTAGAATTTATTTAAAGTCGAGGAAAGGAAATCTGTAGTCCACATAAACATATACCTATTGAAAACGGGCTTTTGTAAAAAAAAAAAAAAAAAATAATAATAATAAATAATAATAAATGCACTGATAGTTCTTTTTTAATCAGAGGTCTGCAATGAAAATCGACCGACACCCGGAGGTCGGGCTAGTGGTTTTCTGCAAGTAGGTCGCCCCGTTGGCAATTAAAAAAAATAATATTATTACACATGCAATACATGAAAAGCACAGCTGGTACGTATTTTCACTCGTTTTTTGCTATAAAAATCCCAACCAGTTAAAATTTTTCATATAACATGCTCCAACTGTCAATAAATCTCCATAATTATGTTCCCCAAACGAAGTTTGGGAACATATTGTTTTTACTTTTTCTGAATTTTCTTTTCTGAATTTTGTTCTCCGGTACTATTTGTCTGCGAGTGTTCTCGTAAACTACTCATCCGATCTAGGTGAAACCATTTTAGGGTCACTAGCTATGTTATGTAGATGTGCGGAACGAAGGTCATTTTGCGCTCACGTGCGTGCATGTGCGCACACGTGTGACACGTGCAATGGCCAATTTAATAGATATAGCCTTAACTTTTTTAATTTTTGATGAAATGCTTTGAAATTCATAATACAAGGATATATCAGTAGTAAAGACATGATGACATGGTAAAAATAGCAAGATCTCACGCGCATGCACGTGCGCTTCACTCCGATTGGCTGAAACTAAAAGTCAAAATATCTTTTTTGTTTTCTGACAAAATCCTTTGAAATTTTGAACATCGTCATACATTATGAAGATCTACAGTGTGATATATAAGAATAATCATAAACGCACGCACATGGACGTGTGCTGCAATCTGATTGGCTAAAACTTTAGATGCCTAAATTCACAGATTCGTGTTGTTTGTGGGTTTTATGAGATTGATCAAAGTTCGATATCTTTACCTTTTTCATTAAATAAATACATTTAATTAAAGAAAGGTGTATCTTTTTGCAGAATCTTGAGGAGGAAAACTCCTTATAAACACGTTTAAATTAAACATTTTCCTCTAAATTTATCTGTGGAAGAATTTCGCGATTTTAGATCTAGGATGGTCTTCATGTAGTGTTTTGGTGTCTCACTCAAAAGAAATAATTTAATATCAATGCTTGAATTCTATGTTATTTAAGAAAAAGTTGGGACAAGCATATTTTTTGGTAGGACAAGTAGTTTTACGATGGTAACCTGTCTGAGGGCAAGTACTGCAAAATTCTATTTGTCTACCCCTGGTTTAATGCATTTTGTGCGGGCGCATGTGCATGCACGTCCTTGCATTTACTTTTGTTAGTAGCATAATGTAGGCATTCATTATATCTATTCATATTCGAAATTTCACCCTGTATTATTGAGAACTAAGAAAGTTTTAGGCATTTGAATAATCAGTAGTGCCCCTATCACACATGAACCCCTGACCCTAGGTCAACACTTTGCACAATTTTTGAAAAGGCACACTTGCTTATATGACTAAACAAAGCTTTTCTGTTATTGAGATTTTCCGTTTATTTTCCAATGTAAAACTCTGATCCACTATTGAGACCTTTCCCTGCCCTTGGGGGTTAAATGTATAATTTGAACAAATTTAATTCTACAATACCTGAGGATGTTTCATATAAATATCACTAATCATGGCTTTGCTATTCTTTAGAAGATTTTTAAAATATATTCTAATGTAAAACTTGGATCCCCCATTGTGGCCCCACCCTATTCCCAGGGGGTTATGATTTGAACAAACTAGAATCTACACTTCCCAAGGATGCTTCCACATAAATATCAGTACTTGAGAATTTTTTTTTAAAGATTTCCCTTTATATTCCTATGTAAAACTTTAATCAGCCACTGTGGCCTACCCCAACCCCAAGGGGTCATGAATTGAAGAAATTTGAATGTACACTACCTAAGGATGATTCAACATAAGTTTCATCTTTCCTGTCCCTATGGATCTTGAGAAGAAAATTTTTTGAAATTTTACCTTTACCCGGTATATTCCTACGTAAAATTTTGATTGGCCATTGTGGCTACCCAGGGGGGTCACGATTTGAACAAACTTGAATGTACACTACCTGAGGATGATTCAACATGAGTTTCATTTTTCCTGTCCCAATGGTTCTTGAGAAGATTTTTAAAGATTTTTCCTATATATTCCTATGTAAAACTTTGATGACCCATTGTGGCCACACCCTACCCTGAGTGTCATGATTTGAAGAATCTTAAATTTACACTACCTGAGGATGATTTCACATGAGTTTCATCCTTTCTGGCCCAGTGGTTCTTGAGAAGATTTTTTAAAAATGCCATTAATTTTTCCTAATTCATAATTATCTCCCCTTGGAAGAGGGTGTTGCCATTCAGCTGAACAAATTTGAATCCCCTTTACCCAAGGATACTTTGTAGCAAGGTTGGTTGAAATTGGCCCAGTGGTTCTTGAGAAGAAGATGAAAATGTGAAAAGTTTACAACAATTACTGCAACAACGACAATGACAGACAACGAACAAATTTTGATCAGAAAAGCTCACTTGAGCCTTAGGCTCAGGTGAGCTAATAAAAACAAATATTTCTGTAACATGCACTACACCATATACAAATATTGCACAAACACTTTATATTCCATATTCAACACCAATTCTAAACTGAGAGATGGTCTAGAGGGGATTTAGATATTATACATTCAGAGTTAGAAAGCTGCCTGACCTGAAGTGTTTTAGGAGCCTTGAACGGATGGGGTTCCTGCCTCCACCTAGTGGTCCACAGGCTGCCACCACATGGACGTCATAAATATCCTAAAATTCATATATTCTCAGTGTTCAGTAAAACTAGACTACGTATTTCACAAGTTAAATAAGCCCAACTTACAAACTAAGAAACACTCAAAGTCACTTCTGCAACTTTGGATATACATTTCATTGTTCTACAATAGATTTACACACATAATGATACATGTATTTATTTTCATACCTCCCATACAAGATGAGCTTTCCCAGCATGATAAAATCCACCAAGTTCCAAGAACTGCATCAGTAACTCTAGGGGTGGCTGGGCTCCATATACCTCAGCGGCCGGCATGTTCAAATCATCCACAAACACCAGCACCTTTTTCCCCCAGGGAGCCCCCAGTGTCCCTGCCCTTCTTGATGAGTTTGTGCATGATGTGAGCCTTAAGTCTAGCTGCTGTCGTCTGAGCTGAGAACTGAAACATAAAACTGATCACTCCAGCAGAACTTTTAGGTTTGGCTGTTCCCAGAAGGACGTTGATACATTTGGACTAGTCATTGTTGTCCATTTCTGTGAGTTTTGAGATACTCTCCAGTAGCGTGTTGGTCTTGTCTGAGTAGCTGAGGATCTGACCCAGCACGGTGCCACTCTTAGTGGATGTTGCACCATCTTATCCCAGTCTGCCTAACATGTGGTTAATAATGGCCGACTTGCCAACTCCAGATTCTCCTAAATAGTGGAAATGAACAGTTTTACAGAAAACAATTAAAATAAACATAAACATAGGTAATCAGAGACTACAGAGCTCACCTCAATGAATGTTGTCTTTAAGTAAGGCTAAGTCACACAATTAACCAACAAAAAGTGTACATTCCAAAATTGAAAATATATTTAAGCAATTTTAATCCGATACTTTGAAAAAATCTATATAAAAAATTTAAACTAGTTCTTCATCATGAAAATGTCACTAAGATCCAGCATCAGACGCAAATTTGAGTTTTCATCCCTTAATGCATCATTTGTGCAAGTTTGGTTTATACAATATTATACATGTATAAGCATTATAGTTTTTTGGTAATAGACCTGCACCAATAACTTTTACTTGGCCCATTATCTGAAAAATGTATGTCGAATTCAGCATCCGAAGCAAGTCCATTAGTGTGCATCCTAAGATGTTTCATCCATGCAAGTTTGCTCATAATAGGGCTCATAGTTAATTGGAAATGAAACCTGCACCAAAAACTTTAACCTATTCAATCAACCGGAAAATGTAGGTCAAATTCAGCATCCGAAGCAAGCCTGGTAGTATGCATCCTTAGATGTATCATCCATGCACGTTTGGGCAACATAGGGCTTATAGTTACTTGGAAATGAAACCTGCACCAAAAACTTTAACCTGTTCACTCAACCAGAAAATGTAGGTCAGTTTCAGCATCCGAAGCAAACCCCGGTAGTGTGCATTCTTAGATGTATCATCCATGCCATTTGGTCAACATAGGGCTTATAGTTCCTTGGAAATGAAACCTGCACCAAAAACTTTAACCTGTTCACTCAACCGGAAAATGTAGGTCAGATTCAGCATCCGAAGCAAACTCGATAGTGTGCATTCTTAGATGTATCATCCATGCCGTTTGGTCAACATAGGACTTATAGTTCCTTGGAAATGAGACCTACACCAAACACTGCACCAAAAATGTTAACCTGCTCCAAAAACATTAACCTGGTCATTCCTTTGCTGAAATTGCAGCATTTGAAACTTTGACTGATACAGTGATTGATTGATTGTATATTGTTTAACGTCCCTCTTGAGAATTTTTCACTCATATGGAGACATCACCAATGCCGGTGAAGGGCTTCAAATTTAGACCTATACTCGGCACTCAGGACCATTGAGCAGTGAGGGTTCTTTATCGTGCCAACGCCTATCGTGACACGGGACCTACGTTTTTAAGGTCATATCCGAAAGACCCGTGACTTTCACTTCTAGTGCCGAGCACTTGGCGAAGGAACAGTCACTACCTTTGTTTACGTCTTAGGTATGACGCGGCGCCGCGATCGAGAATCGAACCCGGGCCTCCCGATCACGAAGCGAACACTCTACCACTAGGCTACCGTGACCGGTGACTGATACAGTGAAACACACCAGAAGCATCTTCCATGCATGTCTAATCAATATAGGACATACAATTACTTAAAAAGAAAACTGCTTCAAAAAACTTAACCTTTAGGCCATAATAAATAAATTGCTAGATTCTCACCCGAATTTTTTTTAAAAATCGAGGTGTACGGGCGGCTTTTTTTTTAATATTTTTTATTTTTTCAATTTTTGCAGATTTTTTTATTGACCTGGTCAATAGGTGTAATTTTATCTAAAATACCTGAATAAAAGTCATAGGAAAGGTTCAATTATCTCTTCGTACTTCACATCACCACCAATCTTTTTCAACCAATGACCTTTGTTTAAAACATATACGCATGTATTACAGGAATTAATATCTTTTCAGCTGTCAAAATCATGCGGACTTTTCCTTGATTTAAAATGAAAGTAGAATGGTAGATAAATACCGATCCCGATCAGAATTAAGACAAAGATAAACAGAAATAAAAAAAATCGAGGCGGGGGTATAAAATCGAGGCGGGCGGGGATGAGAATCTAGGAAAATTTTAATATGTCCTAACCTAGGACACTGACGCCAACACCGAGGGTATTACATAAGCTCCCCAACTTCGTTGAGGTGAGCTAAAAATACATCTGTAAATTTTATGCTTTGGACTAAAAAAAAAATACTTTAAACTGAAAGCTATTGTATAAATTTGATAAAGACATATTACTGTACCTAATCTCATGACTTTCATTCTAAAAGAGATTAAATAAAACTTAATTCTATATGTGCAATCACCTGTAGGCAGCACAGGATGTTTGTGCAGCAGCAGAAGTCTAGACAGGAAGGAGAATTGAAAATCTTTGACTTCTTTTATTTATAAAAAAAAGAGAGCCCTGAAACACATACGAGGGTCATTCAAAAAATATGTAGACAGTGTCCTCCATCATCATATTATTCTTACAAAATTTTAGATCAACACATTTTTATATGTAAAAACATTTATCTTATCAGTGTGTAAAGTTTCATTTCATTTGATAAAATGGAACTCGTGTTAGACAATTTTAAAAGTAACATTTTTTGTCACCATGGAGCAAGGTTAACAACACTGTGACGTCAAAAACAACATCGAGAAATTTTCTTAAAATTACTCTGCCTTTTCATTTCATCCACGTTTTGTTGCTGCTTCTGAATTCATGAATCTATAGCCATTTACACCTAGTTCGCTAACAATAGTTTGAGTACCTTAAGTTAAATTGTCAATGTTTTCAAAGCTTAATAGCGTAACTCATGTTTGCACAGCTTCCGCAAAAGTGAATCGCACATCACATTTGATGACGTTACTAACTCTTTGAAAGATATTTTTTATAATATAATATGTTTTTTCGCAGACCGTTCATGGTCCGATTTCAAGACTCTAACACTCAAAAAATAGTCATTCCCATTATAAACAAATGCATAGCACATTTTGTATCTATTTCCTGGTTCACCAAGCATTCTCAGAGTTCATTTTAAAGGTTTCCCGAATGGAAAACAAAATTTTATCGGTACTCGCTGCTCCGTGACGTCCTTCGACGTCATCGTTTTTTTGCTTTTTTTTATGAAGTCTTTCTGCCTTTAAAGATTGAAATCTTTTAAACGAAGCGATGAATTACATTAAATTTTAGCATCTAAAGTAATTGAACACTTCTAAATTTAAACATTTCAAATTTATTTCATTTAAGAGCCATTTATTAGAGGTATGACTCCCAACATTATCAAGTGTATAATTAGAAAATAGGTCAATTTAGACCCTGCTCCGTGACCCCATTTTTCTGTCTTAAATCTTTGATAATTTTGATAATTTTCAAGATATTTTTACAATTTTTTGTCTCAAATTATTTGGATTTATTGTTAAAATATGTGTACTAAATTTGATAATAATATGACGTTAAATAAAACTAGATATCATTGAGATGGTGCCATCTCAAAGGGCCCCGCTTTCAACAATGAACATGAAAGTGTAAGGTTGTTTAAAAGGGTTTATTTTGAAGAGGAACATTTGTGTAATACAGTTAGAGTAATTTAGTACGACTTCATGGATATTGCTAGGTACAGATATATATCGAAGTTATCTTGTATCCCCAGTTATATAAATTTACTGGAATTAAAGAGAAAAAATTATGCGCCAAACAAAGATTTTTAAACAGAGAGGCTAATTCTGACCATGCCCTTGAAACTTTGACCAATCTCACTGCACATCCATTGACCAGTGGAACTCTGTGAGTGAAGTAATATCGAAATTGGGCCAAGGAGAGAGAAGATATGCTCCTGACAAGGATAGTTCATAAAATTCTGCTATGACCTCGACCTTTGACCTAGAAACATGGTTCAAGGTCACTGCACACCAGCTACCCAAAGGCACTCTGTGAGTGAAGTATGAGACAGATGGGGCTAAGGAGAGAGAAAAAATGCTCAAGACAAAGATTTTTCAGAAAATTCTGCTATGGCCCTGACCTTTGACCTAGAAACATGGTTCAAGGTCACTGCACACCAGTTACCCAAAGGCACTCTGTGGGTGAAGTATGAGCAAGATTGGGCCAAGAAGAGAGAAGATATGCTCCGGACAAGGGTTTTTCATAAAATTCTGCTATGACCTTGACCTTTGACCTAGAAACCTGGTTCAAGGTCACTGCACACCGGTTACCCAAAGGCACTCTGTGGGTGAAGTATGAGCCAGATTGGACCAAGGAGAGAGAAGATATGCTCCGGACAAGAGATCTTGAACGACGGACGGACGGCCGGACAGCCGGACAAACTGATCACAAGCGGGGCCCTAATAATACTCACAAGAGATGTTTGCAAAACACTTATGCCCCCCTCCCCCACAAATTGGAATTTTTCTACATCCAAAAGGGCATAACTCTGTCAAAAATGATGTAATCATACCCAAAACATAGCTTGACCAAGATATTCATCTGACTAATCTGTATACTAAATTCCATTTCAATATGTGCAACCTATCCAAAGAAAATGAATGAAAACTGCAAAAATATGGAATTTTTCTAAGTCCAAGGGGCATAACTCTGTCAATTATGGTGCGGTCGTACCCAAAACAGAGCTTGACCAAGATATTCATCTGACTAATCTGTATACATACTAAATTACATTTCAATATGTGCAACCTCTCCAAAGAAAATGAATGGAAACTGCAAATAATTGGAATTTTTCTTAGTCCAAGGGGCATAACTCTGTCAATTATGGTGCGGTCGTACCCAAAACAGAACTTGACCTAGATATTCATCTGACTAATCTGTATACTAAATTCCATTTCAATATGTGCAACCTCTCTAAAGAAAATGAGCGGAAACTGCAAATGATTGGAATTTTTCTAAGTCCAAGAGGCATATCTCTGTCAATTATGGTGCGATCGTATCCAAAACAGAACTTGACCTAGATATTCATGTGATATACCTGTATACCAAATTTCATTTTAGTATGTGCACCAGTTATGAAAAAAATTAACGGAAACTAAATGGACCGACAGACCGACCGACAGACAGCAGGAAAGCAATATGCCCTCCCTTCTTCGAAGGGGGGCATAAAAAGTTATGACAAAAGTCTACGAACTTTTTGAATGACCCTCGTATTCATTTTTGAAATGAAATATATTGCTTACCAAGTGGTGGTTCCACTTCAAATAACTCATGCATGAAGTTATCACACTCATTACAGATATTGGCATCCCTCTCCCCCTTGTCCTGGCCCCGCCTGATCATGTCGTAATCATCAGCATCCTCCTGGAGCTTGAACATACCTCCAATACTCCAGATGAAAGAAAATGCAAACAGCTTCCCCAGCATGTCCAGGAGCTGATTGGGGTTCTTCTGTAGGTAGTATACCTTCTCACTTTGGAGGCTACAGAAGACAAAGCAAAAAAGGTCAAAATCAGGGAATAGTCACATAGATTCTTTAA